GAATCTCTGTAATGATTTCTGTAGTGGTTGTATCAGTTTACATTCCTAACAATGAAGAAGGGTTGTTTTCTCCCTACAGCCTCACCAATCCTGTAGAGAAAGGACTGTTATTGCTTGATTTCTTGATGGTAGCCATTTTTTTCTTCAATGAGATGAAATCTCAGGGTTAATCTGTTTCTTGATTGGTCAGTGATGTTGAACATTTTTCATGTATTTCTTGGCCATTTGTATTTCTGCATCTGAGAAATGTCTATTCATTTCAGATGCCCATTTTTAAAATTGGGTCTTTAAATTTGGAGATGCTAAATATTTGTTCTTTGCATATTCTATATATCAGTCCTTTGTCTGAGGAGAAGCTGGCAAAATATTTTTTCATTCTGAGGATGTGTCTTCACTCTGTGGCTGGTTTCCTTTGCTGTGGTTTTTAGTATGATGTAATCCCATTTGTTGAGTCTTAGTATTAGTTCTTGTACAACCAAGTTTTTGTTCACAAAGTGTAGGGAGTGGCTAAAGCTTGAAATTGATCACATGTGTGAGGGCAAGGCAAGCCATGTAAACAAGCTGCCTGAGTTCAGGGAACACCAAGTCCTGAGACAATCCAAGCAATGGGTTGCTAGGCAAAGGGGAGTCATGTGACACCAACCTGCCAAAGCATGCTACAGTGGTTGAGCAGTTCCTTTCCTCCTATCCAGACAGAGGGCTCCACCTAACCTTAGCTATCTGTCAGTTACCTTTATTTCTCCATCCTCTCACAGTCCTTCCCTCCTCCCTGCCTCCAAACTTCAAAAGCCGCATAGGCCTTGCAAGAAAGTCTTTGCCTACACTTATGTCTTCAAGAGTTTTATCTCTTTTGTGTTCCAGCAGATTGTTTCTGTTTTAATGTTTAAATCTTGGGGCAACTCACTTGGGCCCCCTTCTGTCCTTCTCTCAGACAGAAGCCTTCTTTCCCTCAATAAATATATTCTGCTCTTAACCTCCATTGTTCCTAAAATTCATTCTTCAATTTTAGAGAACACTGACTTGTCCCAGATATCTCTCAGATTGGGAGTTTCTTTCCCCTATATTATTTGGAGGTCTTCCACTGAGATCATTAGACAGAGACTTAAAACTATACACCTACCCAAGATGAAAATGCCTGGTGTCTATAGAGGGCCTTTAGATAGACCCTCTGGACAGTATCTCTGACTGCCAATCAACAACTACAACCCCCTTCAGCCTAAAGAAGCCAGAGCAGTCATCACCCATTATTCCCTCATGGCAGTTCAGGTTACTTCTTCAGAGGGGGGAATGTTGTGAGCAACTGAATAGAAATATGATAGTCAGTCAGACAAGGCTAGGCCCTCAAAGAAGCCAGTATGGAAGACAAGATACCTTCCAACTGTGAGAGAAACAGGCACTTCTGCTGTGGGCCAGACCTCAAGAAAAAAAGATGAAACAAATGTGTCCACATACTTCCCTGGACATCTAGGATTGATATTCTAAATAGGTAGCAATCACCTTGAAAAAGCCAGGAAGAACCACTAACCCAACCCACTACAGGAAAAGCCCCTGTTTTGTATTCATGCCTGCTTGCTATGTGACTTGCTTCTCCATTTGATTCTGATTTAATCAATTTTACCTAAACAATTACACTTGTAACCTTATTGATTGACCATAGTTTTGTCCCACCTCATGCCCACCTAGCAAGTTCCCATGTTTTCCACCTTGGACTCACCTCACCTCATGGTTTTGCTCTATAAAAGCCCCTAAAAAAGACAGGTTCCTGGGCAACCCACTAAGACCCCCTTCAGTCCCTCTCTTGGAGAGAAGCTTTCTTTCCTTCAATAAATATATTCTGCTCTTAAAAAAAAATCTTGATCAGTTTTGATTTCAGTTTAGTGCATGGTGAGATATATGGGTCTAGGTTCATTTTCTGGCATATGAATGGCCAGTTTTTCCAGCACCATTTGTTAAAGAGGCTACCTTTCCTTCAGCTAAGAATTTGGGCCCTTTGACAAAGATAACACACGAGTTTGACTGGAGTTATTTCTGTACCTTCTATCCTGTTTCATTGATCCACAAGTCTTTTTTTTGGAGGGGTTGTTGTTGTTTTTTTGGTTTTTGCCAATACCAGAGTCTCAAGTGCTCATAGGTGGGGCTTTTGGGAGTGACTGGATCATGTGTGTAATACTAGATTAGGACACTGATTGGTTTAGCATAGTTCTGGATGTGGATGATGGGTTTACTGAAGGGAAAAGACCCACCATGAGTGTAGGTGTCACAAACCAATAGGCCTGCAGCCTAGATGAAATAAAAAAGGAAATAAGGAAGCCACACTGCTTCCAACCCGCCATTCCATGAACTGTTTCTCATCTCCCATGCCCCTTCATTGGCCTTGAAGCCAGCCAGTTATAAACCAAAACCTCTACAAACTGTAAGTGAAAATAAACCTTCATTCCTTTAACTTGTAGGTGTTGGATATTTTGCCCCAGCAATAAGAAAGTAACTAAGACAGACTTTGCTGCTGGAGAAAAGGGGTCATTGCTGTGACTGTATCTGACATTGAGGTCCAGAAGCCCTGGAAACTTTTGGAGGCATTTTGTTGCCTTGTCTTATGTTTTTGCTGTTTTTTTGGTTTTGTGTTTTGTTTTGTTTTGTGCTGAGGTTTTTGGCTGTTTATAGTGCAGTAACTTTATTGGTAGCGTAGAGAGCCCTTTAGTTAGTGTCTGCTTTTCAGTGATGCACTCTGGGTGTGACTAACTATAGGCCTTTGCCTCTGTCTGACCACACTGTTAATTTGGGTGGTGAGGGATACAGTATAATTGGCCCAGCAACTAGTTCTCTAGGAATAGAATGTGTGGCTGATTAACTAATGGTCAACTTGTAACACCCAGCTGAACTGAGTCAGCATGGTGCTGGGTATGAAAGGCCCACCTGAAGACTGTTACCAACAGTGTAAAAGGAGAACTGGAGGGTAAGATGGTGTGCTGTTGATTTTCCTGGGGAAGCCTGTCATGCTGGTTTTACTGATAAGAACTCAGCTATTTCCATTGTCGGAGGAGTTTGAATCCTTTCTGTCACTGAGGATGGCTGTGGTCCTTTGTGGGGGGGAGCTCTGCTCCTTACCTTGAGTATCTCTTCCTGGCTCCAGTGCAGGTCCCTCAGCCTGCTGGCACAGATCCTTTATCCCACTGGCACAGACTTTCTAGCTTCCACCACTGACCTTTGGGCCTTCCCAGTGCAGATCCTTGATACAGACTTGCATGAGACATTGTCGTGGGCTCTAGGCCTCCCATTGCATGACATTGCCATGGGTTCTAGGTCTTCAGATGGACTCGTGGACATTGCCGTGGGATCCAGGCCCTCAGCTGGATTCTTGGGTCTCTAGTGTGTGGACAGATCTCCTCCACTTTTTTGACTTTGACTTTTTGGGTGAATATTATCAAATAAGCCTATAAATTATGTGTCCTGTATTAAGTCTATTCCTTTGAAAACCTTGACTACAACAGACTACAATATTGTTAGTGGCACAAAGGTTATCAGAATACTGGCATACAGAGAACACTTGTTAATAGCAACCTCTATTCCACCCTAGCAATAGCAACTAAATCAGCAACAATAATAGTGTCTAAACCATACACTGCCCTGGGAAAGTGCAGGTAAACCTCAGGCAAACACTTGAGCTAAACCTACAGGGAACAGGTCAAAACACACTATTACAATTATAGTACTTAAAATAATATCTATACAATGCTCTTTTGTGCCAGTAATCTACACCAGGGATGTGGGCCTCCATCCTCCATGGCCACCACCAACCTGCAGAGTGATAGATAATCACAAAGTTATTATCAAAATTCAGCATTTTAAAATAATTTTTCTGTTGTAAATTTTTTACGAGTTCCAGAGTTTCTCAAAAAGATGATTCTCTAATAGTTTTGTCAGCTTGTTCATTGCTTTTGTCTATCTACAGAGTTTTCAAGTTTCATACTGTGAGACTTTTGCTGACATCTACACATCACGTATTTTTATGTGCTTCAGCCTTGCCTAAAACTCTTTTCCCAGCCTGGAATGCATAGAAAGAAGTACATTTTTTTTCTATCACTGAAGCAATCAAAATAATGACCTGCTGATTCCAAAGCAGGGTCAAAGAGCAATTGCAAAAGGTCAGCAAAGATACCATCAGCAAAATAACATCTCTTTTAATGGCAACATTTCCTAAACCACTGGCCTTGCAATTGCCAAGGCTTCAACGACAGAGGCAGTGTTTGGTGAGGTTGAATTTAGATATTTTGCCACTTGGAATTTGGCCTAGGCAAGTCACTTAAGTTCGCTAAGGCCAGTTCTTTACCTGTAAAATAAGGGATAAGATAGTTACAGAATTGTGGTAAAGATTTAAAACGGGTTGTCATATGTAAAATATTTGGCACTCATGATTCGATTTAATTTTTAAATTTGGTTGTTTTTTTGTTTGTTTGTTTTTCTGGTACCAGGAATCGAACTCACGACCTTGAGCTTGCCAGGCAGGCGCTGTGCCGCTGAGCTAAATCCCCAGCCCTAAACTTGGCTCTTGATCACATTAGAATACATTGCTTTTTTTTTTTTTTTATTAATTTCATTCTTTTTTTAAGAAAGTGCCACTGGCTTCCTCTGAAGAAAGCGTTTAGGGGCTGCCGTGTGGTTTACAGGGAGCTTACTGTGGTGTTCCTAACAAGCGCATTAATTTTACTTAGTTGTGTAGTTACTTGTGTTGGCTTTGCGGGTAGGAGGGCTCTAAACCGCCCCCTCCTCCCAGATGCCGTCCGGCATCGCCGGGGCGTCCGCCGCCACACCCACCCACGACACTCGCACACCTGCGCGTCGGGCGGGTCGCGCGAAGCCTCCGGGTGGGGCTGAGGGGGAGGAGCGCTGGGCGGCGCAGAGCCGTCTGGGAGTCGTAGTCTGCGGCGGCGGAGTCGCTCGAGGGCGCCGGCTTGGCTCGCCCGGAACTCAATCACCCGCCGGCCCCCGCGGCGTAGGTCATCGCCTCTTCCTGTTTCGGGGACCAGTAGCTCTGCGGCCGCTAATTGCGAGGCTGTGGGCAGGGGTCCTCATCCTCTCGCCCGGTTCTCCGAGCTTGAGGGTTCGGTCGGCTCGGGTAGAGCAATCTCTCCGTGGCCTTGCGGACGCGCCCCGCGGGAGAGGAAGGCGCGGGCCGCGGCGGGAGGGGCTGAGCGTGCGGGCAGCGGGCTGTCACCCGGGCTGGCTCTGCCGCGGAGCGCGCCGGACTGGAGCTCCGCGGGACAGCGGTGAGGCCGAAGCCGCGGGCGCGGAGACTGCCCCGGAGCGGCGGCGACGCGCGCTTCCCCGGGCTCGAGTGCGGTAAAGTGGGGAGTCCGAGGGGTGAGGCAGCCTTAGGCAAAGGTGAGCACCCCGAACCCCGGCTGAGGGTGGAGAATTGGGGAATGGCAGGAATAGAACGCCGAGTGAGGAAGCGCTTGAGGGAGGAAGCCCGTTTGCGCTTGAGCTGGGACCCCAGGTGGGCCAGCTTTTCTTTCACACTGCTCAGCTGTGTGTGTCTTGATCGTGGGTGGCATGGTATGATAGCTGTCTTAGAGTGCCGGGACCTTGAGGGCGGCTAGTCAAGCCCGTTCTCCTCCTTTTAAATGAGAAAATTGAGGTCCATCGATTAGAGAAGCCCCGTCATCACGAGAAACCCCGTCAGTTTGTGGCCAACTTGGCCGAAACCACATTGCCCTGATACCTTAATCCATTGGTGAGATCATTAGATATGCAAACCCTAACATGTATTTCTTCCTTTTCATTTGTTTTTTCTTTTTTATGTCCTGGGACCTGACAACAGCCTGATAGATAATAGGCAAAGGCTGAAAGTTTTTAAGCTTTTCAATAAGTCAAAGGTATCCTTGTCATAGCTTGGAGAAAAATCTGGCTCACAAACTATTTTCATACTAGGGTAAAAGATTGATAGCAAAGATGTCGCCTACAGTTTTTAATGCCTCTAACATAATAAAACCTACTCCCGATTTATGCCCACTAGAATTCTGAGAACAATTAACCTTACATTTCTTCTCACAGCCTTACATACTGCATATCTGTTACACACATAAATAATATGCTGTTGATTGATTTTATGATACCCTAAATGTTTACAATGAAAAATAAATGCAGCATGAGAAATTGGGTTACTAATGTGAATTAAAAAATTAAAATAATAGTTTTTAGTATTTTTTAAAGGGATGTGTTGGCATAAAGGTTTTAAAAAATCGAGAGATATTTCTAGGCCTGCATGTCACACTGCACTTAAATTTCATTTCTTTGCTAGTATTTTTTCTTCCTTACTGCCTTAACAAAATTTAAGAACACTTAGTTTACCGGGTATGGGGAGAAAGATTCTTTGGTAATACAGTATAGCTCTAAACCACATTGACCTGCAGTACTGTCAGATACTGCAGTAATGCAGTACCTAATATACTTGACCTGCAGTACCTGCAGTACTAACTGCCCTTCAAGCGTTAATTGATCAAGTGTTACATCAAAATTAGATTACTCTAGCTCCTATTAGCTGACCAATAAATTATTCATAAGGAAGGAATATAGATAGGTTTGCTAGTGGACTTTATGCAGTTACAGACTTGTACATTAAAAAAAAAAGATGTACCTACCATAGCTTCTCCCACCAGACTGCTTTTTTTTATGGTATGGTTCCTTTTTTTTATATTGGCATATTACAGAAGTGGGTAAATGACCATATTTCACCTGCTGATAGATATGTTTTCTCTTTACAGAGTTTTGTTGGAACACAGCCACGCGTACTCATTTACATATTGCCTTTCCCATAAAAGACAGAGCTACAGAGGTGTGGCTGGAAAAGCCTGAAATATTTACTGTCTGGCCCTTTACAGAAAAAATTTGTCAACACCTGGCCTAATACACTGAAAATAAATAAAGTATCTGAAAGTCTGTAACATATGCAAGTATATTAGGTAATATTAATTTTCAGTCTCTGAGAAAGAACATGTAAATACTCACACATTAGATCCACACTCACATTTGTTCAGGCACAAGCCCATATATTCTTCTGCAAATTGATGGAAGCATTTGGCATAGATACTATAGATTTGTTTTTGCAAAAAATTGTAAAAGAAAGTTTCTGAGCCTTGTATGGAAAGAGCTGTTATTGTTTGAGGTACAGTGATAATCATAGTGAACCTTTAAAAGAATGTCACGCTGACTTTCTGTGGTTGCTTTTTGTGTACTTTTTATGGAGCTATGCCTCAGCAAGGCACTAACATTTAAAAAAACTTGGAATTATTAAATCAGGTAAGGTCTTGATTCTCTTTTGGACCTGTCTCAGTCTGTTTGTGCTGCTCTAACAAAATATTTGAAGCTGGGTAATTTATAAAAAGCAGATTTATAGCTGGGCATAATGGCCTATGCTTGTAATCTTAGCACTGTGGGAGGCTGAGGTAGGAAGGTTGCCAGTTCAAGTACCATCTGGGCAATTTAGTAAGACCCTTTCTCATAACAAAGGTTAGAGGTGTAGCTCAGTATGGAAAGCCCTGAGTTCAGTTTCCAAGATCACAAAACAAAAACAACAACAAAACCAAATTTATATTTGTCAATTCTGAAAGCTGGAAAGTTCCAGCTTAACTTGCATTTGGATTTGATGTTGCGGAGGGCCCTATCTGTACTTCAAAGATGACGCCTTCTTACTGTGCTCTCACACACACAGTAGAAATTTCAGAAAGGCAAAAGAGATCAAGGTAGTTCCCTTCAGTCCTCTATAAAGTTGATAATCCCACGCATAAGCATAACATTCAAGGTTATGATTCAAGGTGTGAATTTTGGAAGGAACAGAAAGCATTAGCAGGACCCCATGTTAAAACTAGTCTTAAACAGTTAGGGAGTCATTATTAAATGACCTAGGTGTGCTCTAACAGATTTGCATTTGAGACTTTGTTTTAAAGCTCAGAGATTAAGGTAATAGAAGTAAATATGTCTGTTTATGCCATGTTTAACTCCCACCAAATTATGTAAATGTTTTGACTATGGCAAACTAATGCTGGAGGAGCATTTTGTATTTTAATCATCAGTAGAGTATTTTGCTTTATAATCTATGCAATATTAGCTGTAGCACTCTTAAATCACCTTTCAGCCTAGTTCATCAAACTGCAGAATATTGTATGGTTTTATTCATCGGCACATTCAAAAAGGCATTTAATTGCTTTGAAACAATTTTCTAGGTGAATTTGAAATTCAGGCTAATTGAAGAAACTGAAAATTACCAATTTCCTTATGAATTTTTATATTCACTTAAACATTACACTTTGATTTTTTTCAAAAAGGTACCAGGTAATTTGGATTCCTCATTCATTATTTTAAATCATTGAAGTTTTCTGCTTCTTTGGAATATAGAGATAATTTTACTATTGCCACAAAATTTCAGATGTTTTAAAATAAATATATGTGACTAAACTAGGACGTATAAATTCCTCAAAGCCTTCACGCTTTCCCCAATCTTAATTAGCACTTTTTGGTAAGGCTGAAATCCAAGGATCTTTCTAAATTTCCTCTTTTTTGGTTCCTAGCTTCCGACCTAGTTAAAATACTGGTCTCCATGACTTACAAGCATCCTCTCTCTTGGAATTCAGCCATATTCTTAATATACCAGTAATTTAGGAATCAGTATTTCAGACTATTGGTTTACAAAGGAAATAACCACGCACAGTCATATATTTCTTCCATTGTTTAACCAGATATCTTTTTCTGTTACTCTGAGTTGGCTGTGGGCCTTTGCCCTGTTTTACTGCCACTAGAAGGGATGTTACTGGCTAGGGAAATAACTAGCCTGTGAGTGTAAGACTTTATGCCATTCTGGTTTTGGGGTGCCAGTAGCACTACCCCAATTATAACAACCGGTTGAACAAGATAGACCATGGGGAGAGGCAGGGATCTCTCTTAGAAAGTTCTTGTAGAACCTTCGAAAGAAATGATGGTGGCCTGATTCTGGATATATTTGAAAGCAAAGCCAATAATATTTCCTAATGGATTGAATGCAGATGGTAAGAAGAAGTAGTACTGGGTGACTCCAGGAATTTTGACCTAAGCAACTTCAAGGGTATAGATTCCATCAATTGAAAACAAGATAACAATGAATGGGTAGTTTTTTTAGAAAGGAAATAAAAAGTTGTGGGCATGTTAGGCTTGAGTCATATATTACATCCAGGTAAAGATGTTGAGTATGAAAGATGTTGAGTGTTTAGGTATACAAATCTGAAATTCAGAAGAGAAGTTTAGGCTAAAGGTATTAATGTAGATGTCATTGTCTGAATTGTAGAACTTTCTACAGTAATGGAAATGTTTTCTAGCTATATTATCTAATATGGTAGTGGCTAGCCACAAATGAGCTTATGAGCAATTCAAATGCAACTGTTGTGACTGAGGTACTGAATTTTATTTTACTTAATTTAAATTTATGTATTTAAGTAGCCACATGTGACTAGTACCTACTATATTAGACAACACACACAATGGTATTAAAACTATTAGGCCCAATTAGATGAGAGAGAGAGAGAAAGAATAGATGGGAAAGAAGACCAGGACTAAATCTTAGAACTCTGCAAGTTTATAGAAGTCTGAGAGATAAGGAACAAACAGTAGAGGACACAGAAGAAGTGGGGACCAGTGAGGTGAGGAGAAAACTAGTGAATCTGCTTTATTATGGAGGATTGTGATCCCTTTTGGCAAGTATTTGTGATAAGTCAGGTAAGGTATGGAGTGAGAGATCACCATTGGGTTTTACAGTGTGGAGGTTCTTCGGTGGTTCATCAAGAACAGCTTCTGTGTAGTGTTAGGAAAGATAGGCTGAATAGCATTGGTTTAGGAAAGGGATCTTATTTGTCTTGTGTTTTCTGTTTTGCTCATCTATCTTACGTTTTTTTCTTCTTTCTTGCCTTCTTTTGGATCTGTTTTTGTAATTGTCTTTTTCCCTTCTACTAGATGGCCTGAATCTGGTAATAGTTATATACATTTTCTGGTAATAGTTACCTTGAAAATGACATGCCATCATATCAAAGTGTAATGTTGAGTTGGACAATGTAAGAATCTAGAACATTTTAATTCCACGACCACTCCAAACCCCTTTGGTCTGAGATTTTAGGGTTTTTTTCTAACTCTATAATGTATTGGTTATATCTTTTATGAATTCTAGATGGTTCATAACCATTATCTCTTTAGATGTTACTTGTCGTGTTTTTCCAATTATATAGGGTCTTTTTAGACTTTATTTTCGATGTCTTTTAACCTCACACATTTTCTGTCTTTTCTTCTTTCTTTCTGCAGCATTCTAAAATTTTTTGTAACTTGTTTTCCATTTCACTTAATTTTCTCTTAAAACTTTTAAACCTACCTGTTGAGGGTTAAATTTTGGGTATTGCATTATTTTCCTAAAAATTTACCCTGATCCTTTTTTGGAACATGCTAAGACACCTTTTGAAAATTTCCACTTTTTCTTTATTTAAACAGAGAAAATAAATGTTTTATAATCTTATTCTGATCATTTCTATAGTCCTTTTTCTGCTGTATTTCTTTTGGTTTATATTAATTGCATTTTGTGTTATTTTTGGGTGTGTTATTCATTGTCCTTAAAGAACTGAGCTGGATTAGTTTGAGGTCTACAACCAAAGTGTAAGGAAAGATTTACATTTTTCTTTTCTGTTAGTTACCTAGAAAATAATAGCTGCCAACCCTGTTATTCACAGCTTTAGGTGTACCTTGACCACTTTGCAAATCCACATGGTATATAGCGTATGGTAACAAATTATCAGCTTCTGTTAGCAAATTATTATAAAATTTAAATTAATAATTTAAATAACACGAACTGTGGTCATTGTTAAGAAAACTTCTTAGTAGTTCCTGAGAGAGTGAGGCTTGTTTACTTCTTGCTAACCCATATTCTTGAGGATAACCTTTTGTTAAATTGTTCCTTACTTTGGGTAAACCCTGGGCTTTATCTTCTGTTTCCCTAAAACTTCTTGAGGCTTTGAAAATGTCAGCTCAGGTTTCCTTGATATAGCAATCACCTTCAAAGCAACAGTAGTTTCCTTGAGTCATTTACCTTTCCGGGTTCCTTAATTTTGCACACAAATTTTTGAGGCTTTTCAAAATTTTTAAAAAATATTTTTCCAGTTTTTTTGTCCAAATAATGTAACCTGTTTTATTCTTAGAAATGGATCATCTCACTGATATTTTTGTTAAAGCTGAAAAATAAGAACTTTTTTTTACATTTACAGATTTCTGATAAATATTTCAGGCATAAAAATCATTTAAGGTATCTTTAACAGCCAGGCACAGTGGCCACATACCTACAGTCCTAGCTACTCTGGAGCCCAAAGCAGGATTGCCTGGGCCCAGGAGTTCAAAGCTAGCCTGGGCGACATAGCGAAACCCTGTCTGAGGGGGAAAAAAGACATCATTAGGAAATCCCCATACTTTTCCATTTCTTCTGCATGCAAATATTTTTTAACAATAGTAAAATGTTTTTAAATTAAATAAAGTCATTTATCTTTTCTTTTTTTATGTAGAACTAACGTCTCCGTGCTTAAAATCTAAGAAAAATGGCAAATGTGGATGATAAGCATCACCTCATCTCTGAAGTAGATCATGAAGTACATCCTGGACCAATGAATATCCAGTTTGATTCATCAGACCTGAGATCCAAAAGGTAAGAGTTTAAGAAACTTCATGATGAGAATTTTTGAGACTGAAATCTGATGAATTATAGGCATATATGTGTAGAACTGAATATAAATACTGAATTTCTTTTTCTGGTACTGGTAATTGAACCCAGGCCTTCACACTGAGGTACATCCTCAGCCCCTCTTTTTCCTTCTTTTTTAAATGTAGGATCTTGGTAAGTTGCTAAATTGCCTATTCTGGGCTCAAACTTGTGATCCTCTTGCCTCAGCCTCCCATAGTGCCGGGATTACAGGCACACATGACCACACCCAGCATAAATTATCTAATTCCTTAAACGGGTGATCTATGAATGTGGGAACAAGCTGTGAATACTACTTCTATTATTTTATTTTTTGTACTCAGAATCTCTGTTGGAGAATGGGTTAGGATAAGTTTTACAAAGTAAGATGCATTAATATCACCTAATAAATGCACTTGATTCACTTAAATAACTATTTATTACTGGCTTTATGCAAGGTAGTATGCCAGGTGCTGGAGATAGAAGAGTAATAAACAGAGACTAGCTGGAGCAACTTAGTGAGATCCTCTCTCGAAAAATAGACTAGACTAGACTAGACTAGACTAATAAAATTAGAAAGAAGGGCTTGGGATGTAGCTCAGTAGTAGAATATTTGCCTAGCATATGTGAAATCCTTAGCTCAATCTCTAGTACTACAAAAAATACCCCACAATCTTTAAACTTTTACCTCTATTGAACTTAAATGTCAGCAGAAAGTTTGCATAATTTGAAATTAAATTTTACTTTACTTTATATCTAGAAAACCCAAACTAATTCACCAAAAACCAGTCAACGTTGAAAATTTTCATTATTTTTATAAACACTCAATAAATATTAAAAATCTAATACTTTATTTTTATGATTTTTTTTTTCCTGGTAAGTACTCATTGTTTCATATAAAATTCATGGAATTAAAATTAACAATTCATCAATAGAAATATTTTAAAGAATAAATGTGAGTCTGACAGACCCACATTTATGAACCTTGATGACAAAATTAGTCTTGTGTTCCATTATGTTGTGTGTTACTGATTCTTTTTTTTTTTTTTTTGTACCAGGAATCGAAAATATATAAATAGTTGGGCTAGAGAGTGCTTCTTCCAAGTATGTGAGACCATGGGTTCAGTCCCCAGTTTTGAATATACATATACACACATACAGGCACACACATACAGTAAGAAAATCCACTAAGATGGTTGGTACCTAATAAGGTACAAAATAAATAGCCTTCCAATAAGAAAGTGTAATGGAAGAAAAAAAATGCATTGCAAGTCTGAACAAAAATGCACAAAATCTCTATGAGAAATTTTTAAATGCTCTTGAGAGACATAAATCGAAATTATTTTATGAAGTCTGAGATAATTCTGAATATAAATTACATTTTAAAAATGCAGTGCTGAAAAAACTGCTACCAGTACCTCTGGTACAATAATCTCTTAGGAGTTAGAATGTTTATTTTTTATTCACTGAGGGAACTCTTAGATATATTTGCTATTTTATCACTTACCTCTTGTGCAATTATGAAATTAAAATAGACAAAAAATATATCAGGCAAGATATTACTGATACCTCATACTTAGAATCTGATCCTTTTGAATCAATTTTTGATTTGGAGTCAATAAACTTGGTGTTTTATCTGCCAAACATAATTGTCCTTTGTGCTATTACTGATATTGTGACTTTTCTTGATTCTTGTACGTTTTGTTTTGATACTTGCACTTTCCTGATCTTACCAGAAGGTGTCACAGAAGGTTTGCTTTTAAAAACGTTACTCATATTTCTTCCTCAAATGGTCCTTCAATGATTTGATAACTGAAATGACCAGGGATGGCAGGTATTCATCGTGCCACCAAGAATAACTACTATTCAAATTGCCACCTGGATGACAGTAAATTAAAAGGTGTTCTAGGTAATAAGCTGGATCCTTGAAATGTTTAAATATCTCTATTAGAATTAGTAACACATGGGCTGGGGATATAGCTCAGTGGAACAGGCGCCTGCCTGGCAAGTGCAAGGTCCTGAGTTCAATTCTTGGTACCAAAAAAAAAAAAAAAAACCAGAATCAGTAACACATGACATAATGGAACACAAGACTAATTTTGTCATCAAGGTTCATAAATGTGGGTCTGTCAGACTCACATTTATTCTTTAAAATATTTCTGTTGATGAATTGTTAATTTTAATTCCATGAATTTTATATGAAACAATGAGTACTTACCAGGAAAAAAAAATCATAAAAATAAAGCATTAGGTTTTTAATATTTATTGAGTTTATTAAAAAAATGAAAATTTTCAGTGTTGACTGGTTTTTGGTGTACAGTCTAAAAAAGAACATCAGAAATAAATTCCTATCTGAACTACAATAAAAATACCAATAGCACTCTGCGAAACAATCTGTACATCAATTGTCACACCTAAGGCAGTCTGCACACATGACAACAGCACATTCCATACATATGCGTCACTTACACTGACAGCACATGTCTTTTGCTTTCCTGGCCTTTTTTGTAGGGCATACCTGACATGTGGCTGGTCTTGCTGTTTTGTCAGGAGGTTCTTATTGTGTAATATGTAGTTAACAAAAATATAAAATATTAATAAAATAAGTTATTAAATTCTTAATATGTGTTATACATTTAGAGTAGACATCAGCAATTTCACATGAGCTGTGTACTTGCTTACAAAATGTAAAAGATAACATCAGAAATAAATTCCTTTATGAATTACAATGAAAATATCAATAGAACTCTACCACAAAAATAAGCTTTGCTTCATCAGTCATACCCAAGGCAGTCTTCTCCCATGACAACTGCATGTTCCATGCACACGTCTTACTTACACTTGTACAGCATGTGTGCTTACCTTTCTTTTCCTGTGTGGCAGTCTTGTCACCTCTCTTTTCCTGTTTTGTTGGGAGTTTCCTACTATATTGTACAGTGTGCGTTTAGGGAAATAAGATGTCAATAAAATAAAAAATATGAGTGCTTAGAATAGACATCAACATTTTCACATCAGCTCTTTACTTGCTTATAAAACCTACAAGATAACAACAAAAATAAAAACCTATGTGAACTGTAGTGTAAACACAAACAAAAGCCTACCACAAATATTATTTGCTTCAAGTATCACACGAAGGGCAGTCTTCACACATTACCATGTTCCATACTCAAGTATTACTTACACTGATAGCATATATATTTTGTTTTATGTCCTTCCTCGTAGAACACAGTTGACATCTTTTTTGTAGAGCACAGCTGACATCTTTTTTGTTTTCCCATTATTGTAGTAGGTCTTTGTGAGGCTGCACCTTCCTGTTCACCTGTCAGCTCACCAGCTTGTTCCATGTTTTTTTGTGTAGTTCCCTGGGCAGAAACATTTTGTTTTCCCTCTGCTGTAAATGATCTCTTATGAGTTCCAGTCACAGTCCTCTAAGAAAATTTCTTCATGATATTTTGCATTTGTTATTTTCTTTGTAAACTATCAAATTATGCCACACATATTCAGGATCAAGTGAAACACAACCACTGACCAATGCTTTGTGTTTCAAATGACGTAGTTGCTGCATAACTTATCAACAACATCTACTCCATGTTTGGTTTTGTTGCTGAAAGTTTCCATCTCAGTCTTCCATTTTGTTGAGGTTTTGCTATCAGTATTTCCATCACGGTGAAATGTTGACATTAGCAGTACCAGTTTGCTTTTCTTTGCCATATAGGAGACCAATGTTATATCTTTGTGAAATTGAAATATTGTACTATACAATTCTCTGTTTTGAAATAACAAAACTTCATTTGGAATTTCTACTTTGTTTCTGTGTGAAGTTGCTGCACTGGTCAACCAGTAAACCAATTGTTGAATGTCACATTCTGACTAGTTTGGGCAATGGGAGCAACAGGTCTGTGCACAGCATCATTCGGTTTATAACTATATGAATAAAGACCTGATGGCTGAGTTCCAGGATAAATGTCTAAATTGAAAGCATAAGTCTTCACATTTACAAGGGCATAAATTTCATGCCATATTTTGTCCCATCACTTTTTCATAAGTCTTTTACATTCCTGTAATCATAAGAAATCTGGGCTAAGTACAGCAGACCTATGAATGCTTTCAGTTCAGTTCGTGATGTGTCATAATAAATACATTTTTGAATCTGGTTATTGATGCATACAGAACATTTTACTTACATCTAAGCCTTTGTGTATTTCACAGAATCTTGTAGCATTTTGTCTGTTAAAATTTCCAACACTGAATGGCAGTGCCGGCCTTCTATCCAATATGTTTCACCCCTGCCAAGACCTTCACTGTATTTTCAGACCTAGTTCTAACATTGGATTGTTCCATTGGTTGTGAGGCCATTTCACAACGTTTTGACTAGTCAAACATGTACTAACATTGCTGGTTTTTTTGTCACCTAAATCAAAGAGATCTGCATTCCTTGTGTTTGTATCAGTCAATTCTTGCTCCATTTCACTGTCTCAGGAACTTTGCCTCACTTGGCCAGCGTCAAAGTCATCATCATCATGCACCCACATCACTCTTCTGGTTTTTACCATAATCCATATATTTTACCTTAATGGATCGTCTTTATCATCCATCCATGAATAATCTGATAATTCACTTTTGATCTGCTCCAAAACTTGCAAATCTGGTTTTTCATGTGCCATTGTACTGGATTGGACTTCTTCTACCAGAAAAATCAAAACTTTGTTTAAATAAATTCTAGAGTGGTGTGGGTCTGTTGGTGCCTCTGTAATATTTGGGTAAACATATACAAAAACAGATGGAGCATAAAGGTGGGTCCAAATCGCATTTTGACACTTTTGCACATTTGCACACTCCTTGCTGTTTGTCATACCGGGTAGTTAAACACATAGATTGCTTCCTGTATCCCTCAGGGAAAGGTCCTGAGATACACAGCTGGCTGCTCTTACACTAAAGTACAAATTTACAGTAGAAAAAATAAAGGA